TTCTTCGCAGCTTCCCTCATCTTAACAACAAAGAATGAAGAATTGATTAATTTTACTATCCTCACTACTCTGAAAGCTTAGATGAAATACTTTCTGAACACAAAAACAGGCCAACACAATAAGCGTATCTTACATCTCTGAAAATTTTAAACACACAAACACGGATACATATACGGAGCAAATGGAACACAAAGCACTCAAGTTTGTTCATATTACAACTAACAACTTTTCGTAATACATGCAAGCACACAACGACTTCTGCCGCTTATGCAGGAGCGTTCGTTTCGACTGATAATTCTCAGCTTTTGAAAACTTCCTTCTAACGTTTAGAATGTCTTTTTAAAATCGGAGTTCATCGGATCATTCTGAATCGTGACAATTAAACAATTACAGCGTGGCCCGAATATAGCATGGCAGAAGAGTAAAATAACCGCCAGTCATCGCACAATATTAAGTGGACCACGAGTGTGTGGGTTAGTGCTTCCCACCCATTGCAATGTGCTCAGCCATAATTCTTCATCGTCATCGGCCACATGCAGCATCAATAAAGCGTAGCGGTTACCTCGGTTATCAACAAAGCGTAGCGGTTACCTCGGTTATCCGCAGAACGACGTATACAGTGGAGTTGTGGATGCTGTCGAGCTCCGCGAATGTTGTGATTTATGACGCAGTGAATATCGCTAAAGGAAAGCCAATACTTCATGCGCAATTGGCCTCGTCCTAACGTCACGCTATGCTCAGAATTTCCATTATACAGTATCGTAATCATCGGCGATTTTTTTTTCTTTTGAATTTAGATGTCATTGAAAAGTGACTATCCTACGTGGGAATCGAACCCGCATTCACATTATTAGCATCGTAAATTGACAGCCGCTAAGCCGGGTAAAATACAGTAAGTGCCGCGGCAAGATTCCTGCGAAGCTGCTGACGCCACTTTCACGACTCGTCGTGATTGGTGACATTCATTATTTAAATTGTGTGCGCGGCATTTTTAAACTTGGTCTCGGACAACTCAGCTAATGTTTTAAAAGAGCAGTATATGGTTGCGCAACACACTGCTTGAGATCTTATTGTTTTTTTCGTTCTTATGACTCACCAAAGCACGCAACTTCAGAAGGTGAACGATAAGGCAGAACGCCTGCGCTCCAAAAGCTAGAAAAAGAAAGATCCAAAAGAAACTGGACTTCAGCTGACGCAAGCCGGAAAAGACCGACAAGGCAGAGGATGACCACTGCAGACAACTTTGCCGCACCGGCGCACAAAGGAACAGATTAGATTAAGTTTTTATTCCAGTCGCATCGTAAGAGAAGCGCTGGAAACGGCGCGAAGCGGGACTCAGAGTTTGCAGTTTCTTTTGAATATGAATGACCTGTCTAGCATTTCATCTATGCTGTTCAAAAATGCAGAATTCTCTCTGTTTTGTCATTTATTTTCACGGCTTTTGCGTTTTTTTAGCTATATAATCGGAGGTATTATGAGTTCATGTCAGATACTGCATACAGGATAGTCTAAGGCAGCGCCTTCTTTGTAGAGGAGGCGCTCAATAAAGAAACGGGCTTGGGCAAACGTAACGTCCAAACAGACACCTGTAAAGACTGCAAGTAGCCATATAAATATGGACTGCAAGCACTACGGATGGAATGGATAAAAGGGCCCCTAGCAGCCTCTGAAAACACACACACACAGAAGCGCATTGTTCTCATCTGTTGTGTTATGAAATAGTTCGTTTTTCTTCAGTCAGTCACGTTTCGTTGTGACGCAAAAAAATGAATAGTAATATCTGGGGTTTTACGTCACGAAACCACAATATGATTATGAGACATGCCGTAGTGGTGGGCTCCGGAAAATAGTGCGCTGAAAAGGCGCAGTACACGGGCCTCCACAATTTAGCCTCAACCGAAGTGAGACCTCCGCTGCGGGAATCAAACCCACGACCTTCTGGTCAGCTGTCTAGCACCTTAGCCAGGGATCCACCCTGGTGGACCCTGAATCATTGTAGATTCTTATCAAATATTCTAACTATACATGGGCAGCTTGTGTCGAAGGTAATCAGAATACCAAAACCGCGGTATAGGAAATGTTAAGGCCTTCTGTGTAGACGGCTTCTACACGCATAACCGGAACCGCCATCTTGTTATACCATCAAGACGGGACGTGATGTTTATGCTCGTTTGCTGCGTTGTATGCGAACCCGCCATGGTGGTCTAGAGGCTAAGCCACTCGGCTGCTCACCCACAGGTCACGGGATCGAATCCTGGCCGCAGCGGTCGCATTTTTGATGGAAGCAAAAATGCTTGAGGCCACCTTCTAAGATTTACGTGAACGTTAAGAAACTATGTGGTCGAAATTTCTGGAGCCCTTCGCGACGGTGTCTCTTATAATCATATGGTGGTTTTGGGACGTTAAGCCCCTACAATTTTTATTATGTGTTGTATGTGCGATCTATTGAAGGGATAAGGAGTAGCCGGCGCCTTATATGTGCGCCAACATTTGTCAAAAAAGGGAGGGAGGGGGGACGCAAAGTTACCGTTCTCACTCTTTCAGGTGACTTTGTCTTTTATTTGCAAAGGTCAAGAAAAAAGGAGGTCCTTGAGCTTCACCTTAAAGATTTGAACACTCCATTTGTGCCTCGAGATATTATCGTAGTTTTGGAATGTAAAACACTTAGAATTATTATTGATACTATAAGGAGGTTAATGATCAATTCACAACGCGACACAAATACGCAAAGCGCTGACGATAAAAAAAGACACCAAGACAGTGTCCTTCATCGTCAGCGTTTCGTGCCTTTGCGTTGCACCGTTACATAATGATGACTTAGAAGTTAAAGAAAAAAAAAACTGCGAGAATGCAGGACGAAGGAAAGTGACGCAAAAACTAATGGTGGCTGCCAGCTGAAAGTTTCATTGAAGAAACCAGGAATTTATTCGCCCTGTATTATTTCCAGCTTCTGAGTTATGTACCCGCTTATCGCCGCTTCTCCAGGACGTAATCATGAACCTTTACCAATTCACCCAGCTATCAGTGCTCCCGAATTATTATTAGTCAACGAGCTTCTTACACTTTGCTCTTCATCCAGTAGGCCAGGAGTCTCAAACACGTGGCGTGCATGAACCCCTCGCTTGAGGCCCGCGGCCCACACTTGACCGTCTGCGTCCCACAATCTTTATTCTGTTAACAACTGTGTAACAACACCTCGATGTTTTGTATGTCTGCCTTCTTACTAGAAAAGGCACGCACAAGTAATTCTAAGGACCGTAGCGTTTATCACACTGCGCTGGCAGTGCAATGCGATGCTCAAAAAGGTAAGCGTTTCCAACGCTTTGCTAAGACGACACGGTGGTGGCACCTGCCCGTCGCTTTGCATTCTACACCTTGTCGCCTCCGAGACAGGTGTGCATCTTTCTCCGCTGGTGCGCACGCTTCCTTTGTTTTCAAAGATAACTGCCAGATGGCGCTCGTGTCTAACGTGCCTTGATGCGCTCGTTCGTTTTTGCTGCACGGATCAAGACTCTCTAACGCAGTGCTTCCAAAATACAGTTTACCAATTTTCTAGCGCAGAACATCAAATAAACGTTTTGTTCACTCTCTCCACACGCAAGACTATCGTCTTTCGACGACATTTGCAGTGGATCATGCAGATACGGGGCCAATTTTTTTTAATGTTAATGTCATCAGGCATATATTCGGGAAACAATGTGAACAACCAGGACAAAATAGCCACACACGCAACACACGAAGTGCTGAGTGGCAACTGAAGTTTATGGCGGCGAAGAACCTAAGTAAGTACATATCTTCGTATGAGCCCTCGTCAATAAAATCAAGAACATTAAAAAGTAACGAAAAAACATAAATGAACACCAACGCAAGACGCTTTGAGCACATCACGACAATGGATAACATGATCCAGCAGCAGATTGGCTCGCAATTTCCTTGTCAGATAACAAAACAAAAGCAGTGCTTACGCATTCATTTTTGAACTGAGTAATCTTGTGTGCCTCTATTATTTCTCACGTTATTTTTTGTTTGTGGTTAGCCGCCAAAACGTCACATTTACATGAGCCAGTCAATGCTTCGTGTGTTGTATGTGCGCCTCTATTATGTTAACTAGCTGACATGTTGATCCTTTAAGTTATCAGGCAATTTTGTACAAACTGCCCCCCCCCCCCCATCTCGTTATTAACTTCTTCTTTGTCGTGGCCCTTGTTTGTTTGTTTGTTTCTTTGTTTGTTAATACTGTTAACCCTAGCTTAGTCATTACACCAACGAATCAACAATTAGATAGAGTTCAACAAGAAACATTCACGCGTCATAAATGTGAACATTACTTCAAGGAAACGGTTTGCTTCACAGATATGTTAAGAGTAAGAAGAGAAAGGAAAACAAAAAGGAAACAAAAACAAAAAAGAACAAATGCACTTGTCGCTTCCATAGAGGGGCGTTAATGATTATTGTACAGGAATACTAACCGTCGTTATTGCTATTTAGACCCTTGCGAGGCTAGATTTCGTCAGTGTGGCCCACTGGCTGCGGTGAACTTGAAATCATACAGTTTTCTATAAATGCACTACTGGGAACTCTGGCGCTGGTGTTCATGGAAGCTGCAACGCACGGCGCTTCAGCGAGAATGGGAATGATGGGTGGTAGACGTATTTGTCTAATCTTCGTACTTTATGTAGCGTTTCGCTTCGCATGGCTTAAAGCTGTTTTGTCCCGAAACAACCATCAGCAATAGTTTATCAGCTAACGCTTCGTCACCTTAATCTTTTGAAGCTCACCGCTTCAGATCGGCTCATGAAGTTCACAACTATCCACTCTTTAGCCGTAAGCAAATGAATAAGCAAAGCCAGAAGTGCGTTTGAAGCCGCTAGACCGAAGATTATGCAAATCTATACCAATCATTGCCACGGTGGCTGAACGATCTGCAGAGTCCTCTGTGCTTGAACCCTTCCGATGAGGGGAAAGGGTCTCATTGGTGTACGTCACACTCTTTTCGGCAGGACACACCCGCCGGGTGAGCATACCCGAGTGCGTCGAGTTCGACATCACGACGAATGCGTGCCGGGGCTTCTGCACCTCGTACTCGATCCCGTCGCCCGAGTTCACCCTCCGCATGAACCGGAACCAGCGGGTCACCTCGTTCGGACAGTGCTGCAACATCATGGACACCGAGGACGTGAGTGTGTCGTTCATTGTTTTTACCACGAACGAAGAAAAAAGGGGGACGTTAGAACAGTAGTTCTTGGGGTTTAACGTTTCAAGGGCACAATACGCTTTTGAAAGACCCGTAGTGGACGGCTCCAGAGATTTATACCACCTCGAGTTCTTCGACGAACACCTATAAATCTTAGCGCACAGCCCTGGATACTTTTCACCTCTATCGAAAAAAAATGTGGTCGTCGCGGCCGGGAGAACATGCCACGATTTTTGGGTCGCCCCGCCGCGGTGGCTAAGGTACTCGGCTGCTGACCCGCAGGTCGCCAGATCCAATCCCGGCTGCGGCGGCCGTGTTTCCGATGGAGGCGGAAATGTTGTAGGCCCGTGTGCTCAGATTTGGGCGCACGTTAAAGAACCCCAGGTGGTCGAAATTTCCGGAGCCCTCCACTACGGCGTCTCTCATAATCATATGGTGATTTTGGGATGTTAAACCCCACATATCGATTTTTGGGTCAGCAGTAGAACACTAGCGTCCCTGCATATCCAAGGGAACAGATGCACTAAATCTATGGAGCACCTTAACCACTAGACCATAACGACGGGTGGACGGGAACCTTGAGGTGTTGGTTCTTTGTTTGGCACAACCTCAAAGGGTGCGCCACACTGTCACCCAACGATTTGGAATTTTCAGCGGAACTAGAAGTAGGTGGCCTGTTGTGCCTATACAGATTGGGAAAGTGTTCCGTAAAAGAATATTTCAGCGCAAAACCTAGTATCCGGCTGTAAACCTCGCCCATTGCTGGAGGCCACCATGTTGCCATGGTACCTGTGACGTCATGTGCAGCCGGCGTATAGGAGCCATTTTTTTTTCTGCCAAAGCTTCAGCCGCCGCAAATCTTTCAATTTCAGTGTCGAGCTGAAGAAAGCTAGACTATCTCGGTTTCACGCGCAGCTTACCACGCAACAATATCATTCACCGGACTGCAGATGCTCGCAAAGCCGCATGGGAATGCTGGTTCGTAAGAAAAATTAGCAGTGGCTTAGCTCAGCTATGCCAGGATATACGCAACATGAGCTACGGATGGCCGAAACGACAGACTGGCGTGCAAAGTTGCGCGAGTCAAGCACCAGCGACACGTCACTCGAGGGAGATATTCTAGGCGACAAGACAAGCTCCTTCTCTGGCGCCGCGTGGTGCCACTGCTCCGCGGACAGGCGCACCACGGCTCTCGATAAGCCACCCGAAACTGCTCAACTTTCAGCCAGTGCAGCTTATAACGCTGCAAAATATTCAATTATAATTCAAGTGCTTAACGCAGTGCGCTAAGATTTCGCCCACATATTTCTGAGGGCACAAGATTAACCCTGATGAAAATGGGTGTCATGTCCCATTTAGTGTAACCAGCAGATAGTGAAGCTAAGAACTACACAGGGGATGGTTATAGAAATGCAGATGAGAATAACTTGAAGGGTGGGAAAAGACAACTTGCCGCCTGCAGGTACCGAACCTTCGAACACTTGGAATACGCACCCGGTGCTCTTAGTGATTTATCTACGGTGGCGGTCATCCCCTCGCCCACTTTATGGGGTACTTATGTGCACGCGAACCCAGATGTGTCTCTCAGCGTCACTCGTTCGTGACTGCGCAAAAGTAGATGATTGTCCCATACAGATACATATTCATGCCGCTGGTTTTCGTTCGAAAAACTTTGCGTCAAACTTCAACGAAGATACCGACATCGCATTTTGAATAAACCTAATATTTGAAGCTGGGACGACGAAGATCAGGATTATTGACATGTGTAGTGTTTGCATTACCAGTAGAAAAGTACTAACGCGATGCACCGGAAACGACACGACTGTGGCACATAATAAAGGTATACACCACCACGATTTCGAGGGCGGTGCTTGAATTCATTTAGTAGGTTGTAACCGACTGTAAGTACTCCGAACCCTCGATTATCATAATGGTGAAAGACATAATGGTTTTGAAGTAACACTCAGGCAAAAGAAAACAAAAGTATCAAATGTGTACACATTCATGATACAGAAAAAAAGTAAAAATTCGAAATTAAACATAGCTCGATTAATAACGAAACAACGCATATGAATTTTTTATTCAAACGCCAGAGGTGCTTTCCTTGCGGTTAGCTAATCGAGATCATGAAAACATTGTGAATCTCTGAGGCCCATGCATACGCATTGGTCCGGCGGTCATTTCGCGCCCACCTTCTGCGGTGACGACGAATATTCGTTTGGCTCGCCTGTACACGCGTCCGCTGAAATGCCACGAGACGCACGTCAGCTCGGGGCGCGCCAAATGGGCCAGCGGGGCTAATACGACTTTACTGCATTCCATTTGGTGGGAGCCATAAATGCATCGAGCAGGCGGCGGCACACCTGCAATCCGAACTGGGCGCGTTAGGCTTAGCGGTTAGGCGTCCACTCGCATGAAAAATGTCGCGAGTGGCGACCGCTACATGCGTGTCTATCTAGCCCGCGAGGATGCATGCACATTCCAGAGGTGGCCGAAAAAAAAAAGCCTTAAGGCACAAGATGAGCGGACTTGTAGGTGAGTGGTGTGATGGGAGGGGGAGTTATGCTAGATCATCTGCGCCGCAAGGAGCCACCTGGTGGGTGCGCCAATCAATGTGGGACGGGGAAATGTCCCCGTGCGAAATAGGTTCCGCCCGAACGCTGTGCCACCCAGTGACCGGCATTCGAGGAATTCGGAATCCAATGTCCGATCGGATTGTTACGTATTATATACACGCGAGTGAATTGCATGTAGAGGCCCTATAGTGCAACGAATTTCGGGGTTGTGCTTTGTTGTCCATGTTTACAGTATATATCTAGTTGTTTCTCTTATAACTTCAAAATGTGTTTTGTACTGCACAAAGATGACAGGACGAATAAACAGGAAGACATGCCCACACCCAAGTGCACAACTTTCGACGGATTTTATTTACGGAGAGCACATCATTTATCGGTTCTTTAAAATAACAAAAATATATAAGCAAATAACAGTCGAAACGATAGTTAAAAACAACTACTACAGCGTATGAGCATCGTATACGCTGGAGGGACCTGATGTGTCCATCTACGTATCTCAATTCATCCCCTGGTAATGTTATCGAATGAGGGCCGACATTTTCCCTTTTTTGCGCTGAAAAACGCCTCAATGACTTCCCTTTTAGTTTTCGACTTAGCCATCGATAAGAGCTTTGTCCTTTGCATATGCGGCAAGTACCTTTCCGAACCTTGTTGAAACCATAGACTGACTTGCCCAGCAACATGCCTTGCTTCTTCTTCTTCATCGAGCAGGGGCGTAGTCAGAAATGTTTTTCTTTTGGGGGTGAGGATGTTGTTCAACCATACTTGATGTATTTTCCCACGTGCATTTCTATGTGTACGTGTACGCTAACGGAATTGAATTTTCGGAGGAACAATTTTTTATGGTTGAGTGTTTTCAGACTGTCCAGTCCTCTATCGCATGCCTGGCTACGCTTCGATTTGGGCTTCGTAGCTGCGTGCAAACTAAACTGGTTCTCATTAGGAGGGACGAAAAGAGCAGTTATGCAAAGGAAGCCAAGAAAAGTGGTCCACCCTCATTAACAAGAACAACCACAACGGAGCCATAGTGTCACCATCGATCCCTGTGCTACAAAACCTACGGAACCACGCAGACAGCCCCACCTCTGTGTGCTTCGCGATAACATCTTAAGCGATATTTCTTGTATCACTTTAGAAAGAAGCATTCTCTGTGTTGCAGAGTAGGCTACACTGTACAGATGACAAGGCTGGCAACATCGAGTGGTGCATTGATACATTCACACGCACGCAACGCACGCGTAACTACGTAACACGGCGTAGACATGCAAGAAACCACTATTTTCGGACTCAGCTAACGCTCTTGGCATTCGTTGTGCACATAGGCCTGGCCTGAACTTTATAAGGGTACTGACACGAATTTTAAATAGTTTGGGATTGTTGCTCTTGATAAGAACACGGCCTTCGAGAACACTGAAAGATGTACTGCGGTGGCTGCGAATGTATCGCCCATATCTTCAGTACCGCTGTTTTAAAAAGACTCGTTTGGTTTCGGTGTCGAGGGGCCGACTTCTTCATGAAGTTTCAGGGCAGTGTGACGTCACGAGGAGACAGCAATTCGCGACGTACTAGCGGCAGATCTGTCATCTGGTCGTGGTACATGTAATAATAATAATAATAATAATAATAATAATAATAATAATAATAATAATAATAATAACGAGGAGGAGGAGGTGCGGGCTCTCCTTTTTACAGAAAAATGAATCAATAAGAGAAAGAGAGACCAACAGCACATTCGGGTGGTCGTTTGCGATAGCCCTTTGACAACGTTTGAAAGTGCAGAATTTGTCAGCCTTAAGGCTGCACAATAAAAACAAAGATGTATGCAAGTCATTTCCTTCCTTTCTGATTATGTGTTTGCCCCATTATTTTAGTGGCAGTGCTTACTTGCTCTTTTATGTACATTTTTCAGAGCCTCCAGAGTGCTGGAGGCTCTGAAATGCACCATAAGAGTGAAGGCAGGGAGGTTAATTAACCAAGCTAGGCTTGGTTGGCTACCTTACACTTAACGGACGTGAAATGGGAGTAGCCGAAAGAAAAGGATAGGGAAGAAGAGTAAGAATGGATGCGTAAACAGTCAGTTTCAAACTATATATACACTGTACGAGCTTGCACTGTTAGTTCACGGGCGCTTGCCGAGTTCCCGTGGTCACTGAAGAAGCACAGGGGGGCTTTCATGACCTCAGCGTATATGCGAAAACTGAGTGGCCAGGCCCCAGGATCTACTTTCCTGTCAGTGGTCTTGAATCCAAGGGACGGAGCTTGGCTTCCATGCCGCGTCGTTGGGCCTAGTATGCGGCGGGCACGCGTACTGTGTGTGCTCGAGCGTCTCCTCACCGGCGCAAATGCTGCGTGGCTATTCTAATGAGACACGAATACGCATTTGTACATGCAACGCCCAACCACGTGCGACGCAGCAAAGTTGCACCGCGTCCGTGAGGAGAGCCTGTGTGGTAAACGAATTTTCAAATTTGGGTCGAATGCAGGCACGCGTTGGAAAAAGCCTGCATATTCCGATGCAGAAGCGTGACACGGCGGCCAAGTGATTACAGTCGCCGCGCAGATCGAGTTCCGTTCACAAGAGTGGTATGGGTGTCTGCATGGTCTTGGCCATGAGCTCGTCGTGCGGCTTCATCCGTGTGACAGTTGCCGACAATACTGGTATTGAATCGCAGGCATAGAAAGGACTATATACCTAAAATAAGCGCTTATGAGTCTGCCAAGCCACGCAATTTAAAAAATACATAATTATGAAGTTCGTTCAGCGTAATGACAATAAAGATGACAAAATACAGCCAAAACCTTCACTGAAAATGATGATGAGATCATGGGAGAGGCTTTTGCTCCGAAGTGGGCGTAGTTATCATGATGATGATGATGACCGTAAAAATTGGTTACCGGTCCATCTAAGCTCGTTTTCTTTCTTTCTTCATCACGCAGGTCAAAGTGCAGGTTCGCTGTCTGGACGGTCACCGGGATCTGGTGTTCAAGTCGGCCAAAAGCTGCGCCTGCTTCCACTGCAAGAAGAACTGACCGGGACGGTAGTTCCTCCTCGACAGTTGGGTGGCCGTCGACCTCGTGACGTCATCATCCCTCTCCCTTTAAGCACGTCCTCCTCGTCGCACAGTTCCTCACAAAATATAATAAACAAAACGCACCAGCTTTCAAACTGCGGTTTTGTTTTGACCGTAGCACGCTCTGTCACGCCGCGCGAGACAACGATGTACTCAAAGACAAAAACCGTGGCATCATGCTTGGGCCACGCCGCAATGGTCTAGGGCCTAAGGTACTTGGCTGCTGACCCGCAGGTCGCGGGTTCGAATCCCGGCTGCGGCGGCTGCATTTCCGATGGAGGCGGAAATGCTGTAAGCCTGTGTGCTCAGATTTGGGTGCACGTTAAAGAACCCCAGGTGATCAAAATTTCCGGAGTCCTCCACTACGGCGTCTCTCGTAATCATATGGTGGTTTTGGGACGTTAAACCCCACAAATCAATCAATCAAAGAACCCCAAGTGGTCGAATATTCCGGAGCCCTCCACTATGGCGTCTCTCATAATCATATGGTGGTTTTGGGACGTTAAACCCCGCATATCGATCAATCAAACCTATAGAAAAGGTTCGGCAGAGACGAACGCACAGCTCTAATCTCTTGTCGTCCGGCTATTTTCAAGTTCTCATCCGCACGTGACGTCTGCAGAAGACCGCACTGGTGTGGTCCGTCGGCGAACCAAATGCGTTCACGGGATCGGTGGCATGTTTTATGGCAGTCGGGCTAAGGTCGTCCTTTGCGAAGCTGCCAGGCCCCATAAAGTTGATTCAGAGAGTCTCTCATTTGTTTTTCGAGTCTACCACACATCATTTTCTTGAAGCGTGCATGCTTTAACTAAATATTGAATTACTCAAGCCAATGGCGAACGTATGGTCTGTGGATGGATCTTAGTAGCCTAGTGTTTTGGGCGGGTTGGCACGTCGCACTGTAGTTTCAAGCGCACGGACAGATGGAGACGGGACAAGCACTAACTTGCAACAATGTTTACTCCAGAAGAAAGTAACCATATACATAGGCAAGATGACCTTTGAATCATCGTGATCACGCGCACTTTGCAAATTCACATATCTTTACGTAGATAGGCTAACTCCTTACACGAAAGGGCAATTGACGGTTTAGAAATACAGCTGTCTGCCAAGCCGACCGTCCAGCATGCCTGTGAGGAGGAGCTGAGACAATATCTTGACCTCCTATCGCGAGTCACTTGAGGCCGGGTCGCCTAATCTTGCAGGGAAATGCAATAGTTACGACCAACCAACCAAAAACATTCACTGGCGCCTATGCAGCATAAAATAAAACAAACCCAAATAAGGCCCTACTGTGCTGTGCTCCTCGTTATTGCTGACTTCATTTTGCACTCCAATGACTTTATCAAGTCAAGCGCACATTTATTGCCACATTCTACCTCGTGCAATAACGTTAACGAAGGAAAAAAAACGTATTCATCAAATTGCTTTATTGTCCTTATTATTACAGCAGGCGTGGTGCCCTTCCAGGTGGCAGTTGCCAACTTGCTCTCTCTTTCTTTCCTCTGTGTCCTCGTGTATCTGTGTATGCAAATGAAATAAATACATAAATATCTAACCTATTGACGCTCGCTGTAATTTGTCAGCCGGAAACAGCATTATCACCATTGTGAACCGGCGCGCATCCTCTACATCTTCACTGCCAGAATACGTGCGCCGATTCCTCCGGCGGAGCCTGTGGCAATTAACCCCTATGGGTGAAAGAATGAGTACAGAGAGGGAGACAGAGGAATGTAGAAACACTTGGTGAAGGACATTCTTTACCAGGCGAGATTCGAACCCGCGTATCCTCGATCCGATGAAGGACGTCTTCTTAACTAGGCTAGCCAGGTACTTTTTCCCCTAGCGAAGCATACCATAGTCGTGCGTACTATAATGTAGAAAGAGGGTGGAAAGGAAAGTGAGCGTGACGAGGAGTGCTGAGGATAAGGAGAAGGGAAAAAAGTAAAGCATAGCCCAGGGAGGATGAGGAAGATAGAAATAGGGAGAAAGAGAACGAAAGAGGACGCCGAAGAAAGAGAGTGAGACACAGGTGGAGGAAGCAAGCGAGAAATAGAGATAGCCAGAGGGAAACAGACGAATGAAAGAGGACGGAAGGGAGAAAACTAAATCTAGAGAGAAAGTAAATAAATAGATAAACAGAGAATAAATACATGTGCAAAATAGAGAGAGAGAGAGAGCAAAGCAGCAAAAGTCAGGACTATATAGGTGATGATCATCTTGGCTGACCATTTAGCATTGTGCATCCAGCTGCCAGATACGCTAATTATTATTATTATTATTATTATTATTATTATTATTATTATTATTATTATTATTATTATTATTATTATTATTATTATTATTATTATTATTAAGGGGATAGAAGCCTGACAGCTACCACATGGAGGTGCACAACTCCCACCTATTGTTTCAAGACCAGAGAAGAGAGAGAAAAGCAGAAAGTAGAGAAAAAAAATGACACAGACTCGTCAGATGAAGAAGGAGGCGCATGTTATTTACTACGCACGCCCGAGCACACGTGGTTATGAGAAATGAGCCGCATTAACAAAGATAGCTTCTTGCGGAAGAAGAGCGGATGTCTCAGAATCATGCAAAGCGATCCAACTGCAGCATAGGTCGACCTTCCGGCCTACGTGGGAGGAAATAGAACGGCGGGCTCAGTGTTGACGCTTTCTTATCTCTTCCGATACGTCACCGACTGGGTAATGCGATGCGCAAACAAGCTCACATGCCAGCCCAGCTTCTTCTTGTCGCTTATTCGATAAGCGTAAATCGACCAGTCTTGCAGGAAAGAGTAGCGTTCAAGCCGGGCGTGTTTTTCTCTAAAAGAGTTTTGCGTGCCAGCAATGGGCATCATGCTAAGCAGCTCGAGATGCAGCTTTCAAAGAATGACGCCTAAAGAAGAAATCGAAAGAACACGCAAACTACGTGGCGCGCTGTTTTCACCACGTCTGACCTTGGTGGCCATAAAAAGATGCCAGAATGGCTCTTGATTGTATCATGGGTGATTTGAGTGAATTTTAGGTGCGAATTATCTTATGAGTGTGTCCCACGACAGGTATGTACCTTAAGGTGTGTGTTACATATTCGACGGCTGGACGACCGACGGGTGCTGAGGAAAGCCGACGCAAGCAGTGCCAGGAATACAATCCCCTTTTTATTCACTCAGCGACGCGCTTTTTTTGCGCTGTCGAACCAATCAGAGGGTGGCAAAAACAAAACAAGAGGAGCCGATATCGCGGCAAGCAGGCAAGCTTATCAAAAAGCCAAACGAAAGAGCGTGGCAAGCTGGGCGAATGTTACATGTGTCATGTAGTCACGGTACATCATAAACTTTGCGTCCCGTGCTGCCTTCAATTCGTCATGGCTTTAAGACGACATATGGTTTACAAAGTTGTGAAGCAATGACGACGTGATTATGACGTGCCGAAGCACCTGATCGGCTTGGCGTCGAACGTCGTCATGGTGTGTCAGTCTATCATGAAAACGTCTATGTGCCACAAAAATTTGGCTGATTTCCACTACTCGCTACCAGCTCCCTAATAACGACGAATGCAACAGTTAGCCCAACAAACAGACAACGACTTTCGGGCAACTGAAACACTCTTCCCTACATGCCTACCAATTTTTTTTTTAATCACCATCCAGGCTACAGCCGCTTAGAAGGAAGCTAGAAACAGCATGTCGCACTCTTTCTGTGGTAGTGTCACTTTAGAATGGTCCTGTGTCACCGTCGGGTCACTTCGGAGTGTATCAATGACGCAAGGTGCGGCGTGTAGTGCTTGATCGCGCGCGCAAATTTAAACGTTCATACAAAATATCTTCCAAGCCATATTCGCCGCTGGTGCACATGATGTTCACGGAAATCGATCTGACAGGCTATCTCACCCACGAACTTTTGTGTCAGCACGGCACCCCTTTAAGGTCAATTTTTGCGAGGCGAACCTACTGCCATCGACACTAGGCTACAGTGCTAATTCTTGTGACATCATAGAGCAGTATATATGGCTAGTTGCGATGGCGTCAGGTACAAAGAAAGCTTTCAAAATGGCCTCTTGGGCCCCACTAACGAAGCCACGGAGATGACTTAAAGGGGAAATGTGACGATATCTTGAGTGAGCACTAGAGGTTCATACGTCAGGGTACAGTGGGAACCAATATTAGTTTTTAAAAACATACGGCAACTTTTTTATCTGGGTGCACTCTCGCTTATCAGTACATTACCAGCATTCTCGGGGGTAAGGCCTTTAATTTGACGCAAGACAAACAAACTGGAAAAGTTCGTGTCAGTATCCCTGTAATGAACCCCTAGCTACTCCGCGTTCAAATACGAGTGAGTGGTTTCTTCCTTGACTTCACTACCCTTTTTCCACAGGCGAAGTCTCCTCCTCGCCACCTATATGTCTTAAAAGCACGTGTATAACGTCAGTCCTAAGCGTTCAGGCTACCAAGATTTCGTGCTTTTCCGGTTAGAAGCTGTTATCTGCACTTGCGCATTCAGAAACGCACACCGTGAAGTGAAATCAATTTATCGCCCACGATAGCCACACGATACAAAGAAGAACGGAAGGATGGCTGCAGGGAAAGGCAGTGCAGGAAACGATCCACGTCTGATATTTTGCGTGTATGGACCAATCGAAAGTATCTGAAGTAATGACGTCACGTCAACCATTGTTATTGTATGGCAAAGTGCACCAACTTAGAAAGGACAGGAGATAATAAAGGGCTCGTTTTATTTATTATTCTTTAGGTTGGTTAGGGCAGTGTTAGGGGCCCTTTGAGAGCATCTTGAAGAACCCCGTGCAGTCAAATTAAGCTCAAGCATCTGCGCATGCGCAAACTCGGCTTTCCCGTTCGTTCTTGGTTTCTCGATAAAGAGGCCACTCGTTAACCGGGGCCCATACCATGTGCCTTTCTGGCACGAGCTGTGAGCGAGACGGAGGTACACGCACGCGCAACAGCGAAATTATCGAAAAGCTTACCTTGCACCCATTAGACAGCGCGTTTTAAAAAGAAGCGTCTTCATTCGCTTAACGCAATTCTGCAGTACTGGAAGAGTTACGAACACATTTTGCTATACTCGCGTGTGCTT